CTTTCTTTCTTTCTTTCTTTCTTTCTTTCTTTCTTTCTTTCTTTCTTTCTTTCTTTCTTTCTTTCTTTTTTTTCTTTCTTTCTTTTTTCTTCTCAACCTCCTCAGCCCCCATTTTCTGGTCATTGCAAACCTTCTTGTATTTTGGGTGGAGGAATTATTCCTTCTGCACAACTTATCTTGGGAGGGGCTGCCAGTCACTGTCATGGGCACACAACACGTGTGAGGGTCCTTCCCAGGAATTAAGGTAGCCCCAGAGGGGGGAGGAGGTCTTCTCTCCTTTGTGGCCACTCTCCGGGGAGGGGAGTGATGTGAGCCTGCAACTCTCTGGGAACAGACCCTGCCACGTGAAGGCATCTTGTCCTCTGTTGGAGGGAAGGAAGCCATATACAGAGAAAAGCAGAAGCAAAGACACACTCACACATACACACACAGAAAGAACACACAAAGTGACATTACTTGAGTCTCTTGCATCCTCTGTCCTTCTACTTAGTTTCATGAACCAAAACATTCCTTTTTTTTCTTTCTTATGAATTTGACTTGTGTTTCCCTTACTGACTAGTAGGCAGCTGTACTGGACTGCCGACAGTTCCCTGAATTCACTCCCTACTTGCACTCCCTACAGGTTCAAGCAACACAGTGCAAACCATGTATAGTCCAGAGGGTGCAAGAAATCTGAGGGTGACTCTTGTCATTTTTCTTTAGGCACCACCACGTGGCCATATCCAGCCTGGCTGTTCTGTCTCCCTACCCCCATCTCTCCTCAGTCCCTTTGCTCCTTTGTGTCTTTCAAAGTCAGCCTCCTCATGGGGTCTGGCCCTAATATGGGACAGCTGCTTCTATCCTCCTGGTTCTGCTTCTGGACAGGGGACCTTGGACGCTGTGGGCTTCAGATCTTGAGCATCTACAACGTGGACTCAGCAAGGACCCAAAGACCTTTCGCACTGTGAAGATTAACTCCTTGTGGCATATCTTCCCTCCCTTATTATGTCTGAAAGCATTAGTCTATTTGCCAGCCTAGAGATCCATTCAGGAGTAGAATGAGGGCTTAGAGACCTTTCAGCCATTGTGTTTCAGTTGTGTGACAAGATCCTGGTATGGTATTAAACACACCAGGTGTTCAGAGGGGAAGCATGACTAAAGCTAGACAGGTTCAGGGGAAGGAGTGATGTCACCGAGGAAGCAGAGTCTGCACTGGCTATTAGCAAGAGAGCCAGGCTAGACCAAAGGGGTTAAGGCTTTCCCAAGATGGGGCAGGGCATGAACAGCTCAGCAGAGGGGCCCATGTGGCTTGGCAAGTGACAGGAAAACAGATGTTCAGTGAAGGGTCTTGAATGCCGGGCCCAGGATTTTAATTAACTATCATTTTCAGAGTCCGAATGGGGCTGGGATTGTTATAGGGTCTCTTCTGGGAGAGCCATTATTTATGCCCTCCTCTGATGCACAAAGAGGACTGAGAAGAAGACATGAACCTCAACACCACTTCCTGGGGTTAGCAAAAGAAGTCTTCCCTACTCTTGGCTCTCCTGGAACCCCGCCCCCCCCAATCTCACTGTGCCCCTGTGTGACCCAGAGCCACGGTGGGCTCTGATTGAAATGGACAGTGTCTTCACTTCATGGCTTCAGGAGCCTCACATTCCCCTCCCTCCACAGTTCCTGTCCATGCCAGGCACCCCAGCCCCCAGTTACTCCCCGGTCCTCAACAACCCACCTCTGGGGCTTTCCAATCTATAACTGTCTTCATTCCGTGACTCATTAGAGAGATTCTTATCATTCCTGCAGTTAGGAAGTCCCTAAGTGGAGGTTCTGGATTTTGGGGGGTCAGTTTCCTTCCTACCTCAAGGACTGTTCATGTGGATTCCCTTGGCCGAGCTTCTGAGCCAGCCCAGCGGAATGGGAGGAAACATCCCAGCCCGCCCTTTGCCTGGTGACACTGTTTCTCCCTCAGGGCCGAGCCCAGAGGCAGATTCAGAGCCGAGAGGGAGGGGATGGGCAGCCTTGAGCAGTGGTTCCGTTCAAAGACCCTGGCACTGGAATGAGACAGGCCCTGAGTCTGAAACCAGCCCCTCACTCACCAGCTGTGCGATCTAGAACAAGTGACCTCCTGACCCTCAACTTTGTTTTTTCATTTGTGAAGTAGAGGTAGAAATACCTACCTTGCAGAGTTATGAGGAAAGGTAAATGGGGCTTATAACAAGTCTGATGTGTAATAACTGGGAGCTGGTATTATGCTTATTTTATCCCAACCTTCTTGAGAGAAAAAAGCAGGCTTGTCCAAAGTCCAATGTTGAGACAGTCGGTTCCCCATTTCCCACACTGGGGTTCTTCTGCCCACCCCACTCTGCCCCCTCCACGTGGGAGAGAAGCAGCAGGAGCAGTTGAGCATGATGGGAAAAGCTTCCTGTTTCCTGTCATCCCCGAGGACTACACAAGTGGCAGTGACGGGGGAGTACATCACCCCAGGGCCACTTCCTCATCAGTGGCAGAGGGTAAAGGAACCAAGGGGGAAAGTCAAACCAAAGACAGCGCCTGGAAAAGATGCTTTTATGTTCACTTAAATGGGAAAAAAAATCAACATATACTGCATGAAGATATAGGAATCTCAGAAAAGTCATCCTCACAAACCCGTTTGTTCAATCGCAGTTATAATTCAAGAGTTGCCAAATGGAAATCATAAAATCGGGGGGGGGG